CACCTCACCCCGACGCGCAACCCGCCGTCTACAGCGTGTGCGCATGATCCCGGGGAAAACTGACGGGTTCATAGCGCGGTTGAGGGCAGAGAGGGGCGATGACTTCACACTTCAGGGGCCGGCCACCCTGGCGCGCGCGGTAAAACAGACCGCTTTGCTAGTGGATGGGCTGCGTCGCGGCGGCAGACCCGCCGGCGTAGGCCCGGCGCCGGCAGAAGAAGTGGACGGCGGGGAGAGCGGCGTCAATCAGGTCCTGCGGCAGGCGGCAGCGCGGGGTGGGGGGCGGACCAGCGCCCAGCCGCGGACCGGCGCCTGGCCTGCAGACCAGCGCTCAGCCCCGGACCAGCGCCAACCAGCGCCACCGAGACCCGACGGGCGGCAGAGGAGACAGCGCGCCAACGCGAAGCGTGTTTCTGATGTGGTAAGTATGGGCATTACCGGCGAGACTGCAGCCAGCAGCGCATGGACGGGACGGACCGTCCACGCCTGTGTTTTGAGCGTGGCCGGCCGGGCCACGGGAGGACGGGCTCTCCACAGGGGCGAGTGCGGCTGGTGCAGGACACCCAGGCAGGGGGTGCAGACAATGACACGTGATGTGTGCGCTCGGTGAACCCAGACAGCGCGGAAATATCCCCACCGCTGTTCAGCGGCCAGAAACTGACAATGATGGTACATACGGGCAGCCCGGTGTCTCTTGTCAGTTCAATTTCACCGCTGCGAAGGGGCCTGGTGATGAAACCGTGCAACCGACTACTGACGTCATTCACTGGACAGGTGATCCCTCTGAAGGGAGGCGGAGGTGGCCATCTCGGGTGCAGGCAGAACCCGACGCGCCTCCGGCTAGTGGTCACGGACACCGGTCGCACCGGCCGCTCAAAGGTCGTGATTGGATGAGAGCCCTAGGCGTCGTGACATCACCACCACCCATGTGCCGTGTGCAGCCGGCACGAACCCTGCAGGACGAGCTAAACAAGCACGCAGTGGTTTTCAGAGGAGCTGGGGCACGTCCCGATCCAGGTCGGTTTCCGACTGAAGCCGGACGCCGAACCAGTACACCGTCGGGCGGGCCCGGTGCCACTCGCACTGCAGGACGCGGTGGGCAGGGAGCTGGGCAGTCGGAGGAACAAGGCCTGGCGGAGAAGGTGCCGCCGGGGAGCGGGTGGGGGACCCCGCTAGTGGTCATCCGAACGCAGGAGCGGTGTTCGCATCTGTGCAGACCACCGCCTGACCGTCAGCCCGCAGCTCGAGCCGCTACAGTACCCGATGTGAGCGGCGGAGGAGCTGTTCCCCGGCATCAGGTGAAGCGGTTCGTGAAGCTGGACTGCAGGAGTGCCTACCTGCAAGTCGAGCTGAATGAAGACAGCAAGAGTGCGATGGCGGTGACGACGCACCGAGGAGTCTGCCGGATGGACCGGCTTCCCTGCGGCATCTCCGTCTGCGGAGCATTGCTCCAGCCCGTGAGGATCAGATCACGGCAGGGCTCCCCGGCACAGTCAGCTTCATGGACGACGTGCTGGTGTGGGCTAACACCGAGGAGGACCTGCTGCAGCGTCTGGAGGCGACTCTGGCGAGAATGGAGGTGTTCGGCATCCGTCTGAGGCGAGAAAAATGTAGCTTCAACGTCCCGAAAGTGGCCTATCTGGGATGGCTTCTGTCAGCAGACGCCCGCCGACCGCTGGTTGGGAAGACGGAAACTATCTTGAGAGCTCCAGACCCAAAAGTCAGCAGGAGTTGTCGTCGCTGATAGGCGCTGCCAGCTAATACCAACAGATCCTACCGGATCCCATTGCAGCGCTCTCGCCGCCGTACGCACTGTTGAAGAAAGATGAGAAGTGGCGCTGAATCGATCGATGCTCTGCAGCAGTGAAGAATGTCTTAGCGTCAGTGCCTGTGCTGATGCGGTTCGACCCCACTCGACCATTGAAGCTGGTAACGAATGCCAGTGAGACGGGACTGGGCGCGGTGCTCATGCTGGTGACCGCTGAAGGCCTGGAGAGACCGATACAGTACGCATCGTGGTCTCTGACTCAAACGGAGCGCAAATGCGCACAAATGGAAAAGGATGCAGATGCCGCGTCGTTTGGAGTGCGACGCTTCCCCCAGTTCCTGATGGATCGACGTTTCACCCTGGTGGTGGGCAATCGTACTTCGCCGCACATCATCAGCCCGGACAAGGAGCTCCCCACGCTTGCAGCGGCGCGTATGCAGCGCTATGCTCTTCAGCTAGCAGTTTACCAGTACGACCTAGAGCTGCGGCGCACTCAGAACATGCGCGCAGCGGACACACTGTCGCACATGCTAGTGGCAAGCCCCGCGGAGGAGCAGCAGGCGGCGGACGAAGAGGCCAAGTGCGGTGCAGGAGGCATCATATTCGTGGCGGAGGAGCAGGGATCTGCCTAACGGTCAGAGCGGTCGCCGCGGCGATGCGTGCGGACCCGATGTTGGAGCGCGTGCTGGCCGCGGTGCGGTCAGGCTGGCCGGCGACAGCGGACACGAACCTCCTGCCGCACAAACACGGGGCAGAGGAGCTATCAACAGACGCGGACTGTGTGCTCTGGGGTGATCGTGTCACGGTGCCGAGGTCCTCCGTGACCGCGTGAAGCAACAGCTACACGAGGGACACGGCGACCGCACAAAAATGACAGCTGGCTTGCCGCTTCGTCTGGTGGCCGGGGCTGGACCCCGAGCTCGAGCCGTTCGCCCGCGGGTGTCCGTCCTGCGAGGCGAAGCGCGCAGCTCCACGGCACGCGAAGCGCCACCCGTGGGAGCCGGCACAGGGGCTGCGTTAGCGGGTTCACGCAGACTTCGCCAGACTGATGCAGGGTATGACTTCTCATCCGGTGGACAGCTACAGCAAGTGGGCGGAAATGGTTCCGATGAAGCCTACGGACAATCGCGGCCGTGCGGCCTTGTTTCGCGCGCTTCGGTCTGCGGTGGTGCTGGTGACGGAAAACGGACTACCGCTCGTCAGCCAGAAATTGCCATAGCTCATGACGTCTGGTGGCATTTGTCGCATCCGAGTCGTCCCCCAAGATTAGGAAAATTCAACTGTTCAACTAATTTAAATATACATTTGAAGCATGAAAATTTTTACTCGCAACTTTAAATTTACCACTGAAACAGAGAGGAATGCAGCAATAAACAGGCACTGAAAAAATGGTGAATGAGACAAATAGTCAATTTTTCAAGTTTTTTGTTTGTTTCAACTATGAGTAAGATTAATATGGTCTACAACTGTTTTCCGGGAGGTGGAAGGCTTGCGTTGGCAATAGACAAGAGATTGGGCTGTGTAATATGCGTAATGCCAACCTGTCTAGGTGGTGCGTTTAAAGGTAGCAGTGTGGGCGAATAATTCAAACTAAATACAGCCTCCATGCCATCTGGATCCGTTTCTGATCCTAGATAATGATCGGTACTCTGAGGACCAGACTTCCCACTGCAAGGGCAGTTCTCTTGTCATCATGCTACAAAAAAGAACAAACAAATATCCACTTTACAAACAATGAGTTGTTTCCATGCAGTCATGCATGGTACCAAGAATCAAAGGACCATCATGCCAAAACATCGGCACAAATATGCACGTACCACAACCTTTTGGGAGTGCACTGGTCAAGTTATTAGCACCATGTACAACTGCCAGCACCGCTACTGTGACTTTTGCACAGTAACAAACACACTGTGCCTTTGTAAGGAAGAGACAAGACAATAGCAGGGTTTTGATACACCGTTGAATGCACTGTTTGTTACAAAGACAGTTTTGGTAGCGCCTTCTCTCCACAAGGCCAGCGCCTCTCTGCCGCAGGAACCGATCACAGCACTCCACGCCAGCGCCATCTCTGAGCAGCCCGCTCATTCCACTCGTGTGACCCCAAGCTCCCAGCACGTGCGCCAGCGGCCGCGCGCGGGTCACGGCACCCGGACTCCGAACAGTAGGACAGCAGCGGCAGCAGCGCGATGGCCACGTTTATTGATAAATGATAGACATATACAAGCACACAGGGCGGTGTGACGAGGCGACAGCCAGCAGCGCCTCACCAACCGAGCCAGCGTCATCCGATTGATCTCCTCGGATATTGGAGCGCCGGCTTCCTGCCTCCGGCAAGTACTAACTGGCATTAAGCTGTAACATAGTGAAGCCTCTGGCGGCGCGCCGTAGACTACGGTAGCTGCGGCCGCGGCATCGCAGCACGTACAAAATCACTCCGTCGGAACTAAACGTGCTGACGACTACGCGAATCAAGTCGAAATCAATCGGTTAAAGTATCTGAACAACGAACGCCACTCTGGCACGAACAAAACAAGTCCCGACGTGCACACGCAAAACGCTTCGGTGGTACGCTCCCGGATGTGACACGCCCACCGGTGGTACGCTCCCCCGGGTGTGACATCCCTCGCCCCGGGTGGTACACGCCCACCGGTGGTACGCTCCCCTGGGTGTGACATCACCCCGCCCCGGGTGGGACACGCCCACCGGTGGCACGCCCACCGGCCCATCGCTAAATAATCCACACGGACAAAACGCTTTGCAAAGCAGCCACCGAGACGCCATCCCGGTCCTCATTGGCTGCCGAAGCTGACTGGTGGCGTTACACACGAGACCATGTGAGTCCGATTCGACGGACGCGTGCCTTTCATTGCAAGGTCACACACATGACCGACAAGCGCTGCAGAAGCGTGACGTCACTGTTCTCGCTAGCCGGCGACATCACACACCGGGAACAAACACGGCTGAAGCTGCGACTTAACTGACACTTCTGACCAATGACATCAAGCCCGGCGCGCGCACGCCAATCACCAGCGAGGCCGCCGCCACGCCGCCGCAGCCGTGGCGTCGCGCAGACGCGCTGGCCGCGCCGGCAGGGTGAACACCGAGGCGCCAGCGCCACACGGCGGCCACCTGCCACACGCCCGGAGACCTCAGGTCACCGTCACACGCGCACGGGTGGGAAGCGCCGGCTGCTGGGGCGCCTCCTACTCCACGCGACACGCCAGCGCCACGGCGGGCCGGACTCAGGGCTGGCAGCGGCGGCGGCGGAGGCGGCGCAGGCCGGGCCTGTTGGACATGGCGGGACATCTGTCAGCCCTCGACCCGGGCTGTAGCAGGGACAAACGCAGAGCGTATGGCAGCGGTGTTCACGTTGTGATTCAAGGGAATGTCCCATACTTGAAGATATTGAAACAAGGACCAGATATTGCGAAGTCGTTAAGTGCATATACATATATATATATATATATATATATATATATATATATATATATATACATCCATTCTCCATATGCATCCATTGCATCATCATCCATATGCATCCATTCTCCTGATTTTTTCTTTGAGGAATAAGGCTATTACTGCCGCCTTCCCATCACCAGATCTGATGAAATAAGCAAACTCAAAGCTACTGGCAAACTTTTAAGTGAAAAAACTGCTCTAAACAATACAGTGTCTCTGCTACGTAAATATGCTCTTCAATACGTCATTGTGTAGTAGCATCATCGTACCTTGCACATTAATTGAGACAATCGAAGGCCGTTATATCTGGAAATCATGCTCACGAACGCCATATATGAGCGACTCGACAATCGCATTTTTCTTGGCCTTGATCGCTGCACGGCCAATGGAATAGCGGGACATAAATAACGTTATTATGGCGTCATGAACATCCGGATGACATTGCAATAGTCTGCACATCTTCGCGGGTGTGCAGCTCACAAACTAGACGGGCTTGGGTCTTAAGAAGAGCAGGCGCCAAATGACCCTAAAAAGAACGGCACCAAATGATAGCTATTTAAATTCAAAACCCAGTACGAATGTGGAGCAATCCCTTCAAAGCAGTTGGTGAGCCTACTATACGGCGTGTGGCACGGACACCAACACGCGATGAAATGCGGCGGCTACCAACAGCTCGTTTGACACCGCGCAGCTCGCTACGCCACGCGTCGGATCCACTTCCCATTACATGACAGCCGCTACTCTTGCGCCACAAACGGCACCTCACGCTGCACACGTCACGTCTCGTTCTATCGTATCTGATGGCGTACGCCACATCACGTGACATCGCCCCATATAACCCGCGTAACAGGCTGACCTTGCATCAAGGAAGCCCCCGGGTTACCAAACGCGCGGAAAATCCAAGCAACATGCCCAACTTTCATCTGGCACATCACCCGTCGGCCAGTTTCATCAACAGGGGACTTCCGCAGAGAGCACTGTACAGGAGGCCGCACGCGGCGGCAGCGCGGCGCCGGTCCGTCGCGGAAAGCGCTGTACAAGAGGCAGCACGTGGCGGCAGCCACGGCGCCGGTCTGTCGCGGAGAGCGCTGTAGCGCACGTGCGGCCGCCGGTCTGTCGCGGAAAGCGCTGTACAAGAGGCCGCACGCGGCGGCAGCCACGGCGCCGGTCTGTCGCGGAGAGCGCTGTACAAGAGGCCGCACGCGGCGGCAGCGCGGCGCCGGTCTGTCGCGGAGAGCGCTGTACGGGAGGCCGCACGCGGCGGCAGCGCGGCGCCGGTCTGTCGCGGAGAGCGCTGTACAAGAGGCCGCACGCGGCGGCAGCCACGGCGCCGGTCCGCCGCGGGGAGCGCGTGCAGGCGGTCGGGCCGTCGCCACCCACCTGGGCCGCTCAGCGGAGTGGGCTGGCGCTCTGCTGCTGGATCTCGATCTTCTCCACTGTCATGTCCGGGTTCATGTCGGTCGCCTGTTGGATGGCGTCCCGCAGGGCAGCGTCGTGGTCGATGGGCTCGCCGTCCGACTGGATCGTGATCTTCTGCTCGACGCGCGTCTCCACCACGCCGTCTTTCTCCGTCTTGTACTGCGCAGAGGACGGCCGATCAGCCGCAGGAGACGACGGCGGGGCACACACAGCAGGCGGCGGAGGAGGGAGGGACAGGGGCAAGGGCAGGGGCAAGCGCGGGCAGAGGACGGCCGATCAGCCGCAGTAACGGCGGGGGGCACACACAGCAGCGGTGGAGGAGGGAGGGACAGGGGCAAGGGCAGGGGCAAGCGCGGGCAGAGGACGGCCGATCAGCCGCAGTACCGACGGCGGGGCACACACAGCAGGCGGCGGAGGAGGGAGGGACAGGGGCGAGGGCAGGGGCAAGCGCGGGCAGAGGACGGCCGATCAGCCGCAGTAACGACGGCGGGGCACACACAGCAGGCGGCGGAGGAGGGAGGGACAGGGGCGAGGGCAGGGGCAAGCGCGCGCAGAGTTCGGCGCCGAAGACGGCACGTCCAGTGCCATGGGCAGGTCAGGTGCAGGAGTGCGAGTCAAGCGCTGGGGCTGCGTCCCAGTGCGACGCTGAACAGGTCAAGGCCTGTTTCGCGCTGGGAACATGGGTAAGCGACTGTGCCGATACATCCGACAGTAATCGGGGGGCCCAGAGCTGATGTAGAATCGTTACCAAACAGTTCGGCAAAGTTCAACATATTTGTCAATATTAATAGTCTGATACCACCGAAATGTTAGGAGTTTGACAGGCCACGCCAATAATCACGCCAGCTTCGCCTTACCTTTCACCTTTACTCTGATAACACCATGACGATCCCAGCTCGCAAGCCATATCACGCAGCAACAATTCGATGCATTTCAAATAAGCGCCCCTTCCGGGAATGACGAATATCTAAGTATACAGGTAGTTACGGAGTGAGGCTTCTGGTTCACGTGTTTAGATTCACTTCCCATTCTAAGAAGTTTCCAATGACCATGACATTCATCAAGAGCAGATATGCTAGTGGTCTTCGCAATTACATGCGTCTGCACATGGCAGTGCATGCACGTAAAGAAGATAAGCATAATCGATAATAATGTCTGTATAGATGGTATTTACTAGTCCCCTCGAAAGCAATTTACATCATGTACGAGTAATACAATTCCAGGAACGACTGTAAGAAGTAACTGACCCAGACTTGATCTCTGGGAGTCAAGTGTGTGCACGAGACCGTAGACGGGTTACACGAATATCCCGATCCGTCTACTACAGCCCGATACCTAGCCGCGTGGTACCAGCACCTCCAAACGCCATTCAAATTATTATGCTCGGGAGCACCTCACAGGAAGCCTGTCGCCGAGTACTGCGGAGTCGCGAGACCCTGCTGCAAAGCTGCGCACATCACACTGATGTACCGGCACAAGCCCCCACACTGCAGCCTGCCTGTCGAGACATCGTGGTCAGCTACGGCCGCCAGTCAGCACAGGACGTTCCGCCAGCTGCAGCGCCACGGACGGCATATTCGGCCGAGACACGACACACACGGCCGGGAAGGCTGCTCTCGACGACCGCGTCCCTGCTGCCCTACAGCGGGCGACACCGGCGCCAGAGGAGACGGCGTGTCCCCCCCCCCCCCCAGCCCACAGTAGATACTGCCGGGTCAGGTCAGGTCAGGTCGGGTGATGGCCCGCACTCACCGTGACCGTCTCGACAGTGCGCTGCTTGCTGGAGGCGGTGTGCCTCCTCCCCCCCCCCCCAGCCCACAGTAGATACTGCCGGGTCAGGTCAGGTCAGGTCAGGTCGGGTGATCGCCCACACTCACCGTGACCGTCTCGACAGTGCGCTGCTTGCTGGAGACGGTGTGGCTGCTGACCACCTCGCCCTCCAGCTCGCAGTGGTCCCCGCGAACCGAGACCTGGGGTCGGCCGGCCGCGCGCCCGTCAGAGCGACGCCAAGCACCACGGCCGCGCACAGAACAGAAGCAGACACACCCACACGAACACACACAAACGGCGACGACAGCGCACTCTCACACGGGTCAGAATCGCGGACTCACATCAGCCAGAGCGTAGGCGCCAGGCGGGGGCAGCGCCCCACCAGGAAAGCAAAAGCAACAAAACAAACACTAGCCAGGGCGACAGGTCACCACACGCGACGAGTCACCAGAGGTCACCGACGGGACAATCGGTGTGAGCAGCGTAAGCTGACACATATTCAGAGGTTAAATCCATCCAGCCAACACGGCGCCGCACCCGCCACAGCTGTGAATCCACACACACGTGAACAACACAACCAGGTGAGTCGTGACACACCCACGCGTCAAACAAGGCGGCGCACGCGCAGTTCAGCCCCTGCGCTCCCGACAAGCCCCCGCGTAGCCGGGTGGCCCCCCAGCCGCGGGTGCGGGTGAGGAGGGCCGGGCGGTGCCCACCTTCCTGCTCTCAGTGACGACCGTCGGCACGTCGGTGGTGGGCCGGCCAGCGCCGCCCGCGCCCGGCGGCTGGTACGTGACGGCCTCGGTGCGCACGATCGGGTCAGAGGCGGAGGCGTCCGCCTGCCGGCGCAGGGCGCGCGCCGTCAACACACCGGCACCCGGGGGCCGGCCGAGGGCCGCCGCCCGGCGCGACACGGCCTGTGGCGCGGCCACAATGGGCGCTGATGGCTTATCAGTGAGGGAATTTATTCCTCGCTCGGGCACGCTTGATTCTTGATCAGTGTTGCCTTGTCCCCCGACAATGCCTGCTGTATTATGCAGCGGCAGCAGTGTGCCATGCACCGAATCGAGCCCCGGTACCGGCGTGAGGAAGCAGTGACAGAACAGTCGCAGCGTGTGGCCGGCCTCAGCCAGTGAGGACAGCAGCGGCCTCACACGTGCGGCCGGCCTCAGCCAGTGAGGACAGCAGTGGCCTCACACGTGCGGCCGGCCTCAGCCAGTGAGGACAGCAGCGGTCTCGCACGTGCGGCCGGCCTCAGCCAGTGAGGACAGCAGCGGCCTCGCACGTGCGGCCGGCCTCAGCCAGTGAGGACAGCAGCGGCCTCACACGTGCGGCCGGCCTCAGCCAGTGAGGACGGCAGTGGCATTCTCAGACGTGCGGCCGGCCTCAGCCAGTGAGGACAGCAGCGGCCTCACACGTGCGGCCGGTCTCAGCCAGTGAGGACAGCAGCGGCCTCACACGTGCGGCCGGCCTCAGCCAGTGAGGACAGCAGCGGCCTCACACGTGCGGCCGGCATCAACCCTACGGATAGCATGGGCACCAAATGCACTTGATGTGGGATAATGTCACTGGCACGCTAACTGGATTATTCGCATTCACATCGTGTTTTGATCCGATGCAGCTAGGTGGTAGCTGGCTGCTGGTCATAGAGCGCTGTAAACAGCCGCTGTTCAAAGGGCCTTTCGTTACATAGCTGGAAGCTGTTTGTTGTCGTCAGATGCTTATGGTTTGGTATGGTTCCTACCCTGCCGCAATCAATTTTCCTGTTCTAAAAGAGCTATGATCGGGTGTTTGAAGACATTACTTTAGATAAATATTTGCTGAACATGCCTGCCGGAAAAAGACCAAGTTGCCGCCCAGGTAGTGTAACTCCACCTCAGCGGACTAGTTTTGCTTCGGCCATGGTAACAAAGGCCTCTAACGTGACATACAAAGTCATGACACGCCCGACCCAGCTCAGCCTTCAATCCTGGTCCGTGGCCAATTGACCGCCACATACGAGAGTGGGTACACAGACTGTCCCTGTAACGCCATACAGACTGACCCTGTGACGCGGTAGACTGACCCTGTGACGCGGTACAGACTGACCCTGTGACGCGATACAGACTGTCCCTGTGACGCGACACACTGGCCCTGTGACGCGATGCAGACTGCCCCTGTGGCGCCACAGACCGTCCCTGTGACGCGATACAGATTGTCCCTGTGACGCGATACAGACTATCACTGTGACGCGACACACTGGCCCTGTGACGCGATACAGATTGTCCCTGTGACGCGATACAGACTGGCCCTGTGACGCGATACAGACTGGCCCTGTGACGCGATACAGACTGGCCCTGTGACGCGATACAGACAGGCCTTGTGACGTGATGCAGACGGCCTCTGTGACGCGATACAGACTGTACCTGTGTCGCGACACAGACTGGCCCTGTGACGCGATGCAGACTGTACCTGTGTCGCGACACAGACGGGCCCTGTGACGCGACGCAGACTGGCTCTGTGACGCGAGCTCACAGTTCTACGACGCTCACCACTCACCACTTGGCTGTCCGGCGCTCCGGCGCTCTACCAACATAACTATGGGTAACAAAACAGCTATGGATACAGTTATCAGTTATCAGACACACGTATCGCAGTCAAGGCTCAATATCAGCAGCTATCAGAGCAGTCCGACCCGTTACCAACACCGGAGGCCACCCCACAAGGAGCCAAATGGAAGCCCACCATGCGGCTGCATGCACACAACGCACAGCAACACGTATACGGGGGCATCGTAGGCAAGCCCGCAGACACCAAGCAGGGCTACGTGGCGGCAACGGAGGCTCGGCCGGGCACCAAACACGGCGGCGCGGTATATACACGGGACTTGGTGGGCAGGCAGGCCGCGCTGGGGCCTGGCGCTGCGCTGGCTCCCGCCGCAGCTGAACACGAGGACGCCGTAGTGCCGGCGGAGGCCACCGACAGGCGCGGTAGGCAGGGGCGTGCTGGGGCCTGGCGCTGCGCCAGCTCCCGCCGCAGCTGAACACGAGGACGCCGCAGCGCCAGCGGAGGCCACCGACAGGCGCGGGAGGCAGGGGCGTGCTGGGCCGCCAGCTTCCCCGGCCGTCAGCGGCCTCAGCATGGGGCCGCCAGTGACGGCCTGGCGTGGCGGGGATGCTGCCTTGCGAGAGCGCGCCAGAACTGGACAGCCTTCCGCCACAGGATCGATCACCGTCGGCGGTCTGGACTGGTGAGGTTGAGAAGGCTGGCCGGACAGGCAGCACAAGGCTAACCAACGACTATAACTCGGAACCACAACAGGAACAGCACCAAACTGCCTTCAAGATTGGACACGTAGCAGCATGGACCCGCTACGTGAAATGGTATGCAAACAAACCAGAACTGATAACTGCCAGAGTGCGTACATTTCGGCGCGAGCCCCCGAAATAAGCAGCTCGTCGTTGCCAAATCGACAAAAACAGAAACTGACGACAACACTATGAACCAACCAAGGCCTACAAAAGAAACACAACCGCTTGCCGCCGCGATGTCTTCACTCAAGCCATGCTGTCGGTGCCGCGAACGCGGTACTCCCCGCCAGACGTCAGCCGGCGCCGCCGACACGCGCCGCGCACCGGCGGCCGGCGGCGGCTCTCACCTGCAGGTCCTCGTGCACCGAGTACTCGCCCTCGGTGTCCAGGTTGGTGGCCGACTCGTCACTACCACTGCTCGAGCTGGAGCCGCGCCGTGCCTGCGCGGGCGCACGCGCCGGTACGGCCCCGTCACCACCGGCCGCGCCGCCGCACCATCAGCCGCGCACCGCCACCCAGACGTCCCCCCCCCCTCCGCCCCCTGGCCTGGTACAATGACCATCTGTCAGTCTGGGTGTAGCGAGCATGACCCACTCACCTTCATGCCGGAGCAACCCTTGAACAGACCTATAACTAGTAGGTGGTCGACCAGACCAGCGCGGCTTATGCGCATTCTGGGCTTCCAGCGGATAGACGAGCGGGAGGAAACAACGACTCAAACGAAAAAGAGGAACAAAACTAAGGCAAAACCATCACACCAAGCAGGATGAGGTAGCGTGACTATGCTATCACCAGCTAGCCACGGGCAACTGTTCACCAGTCGACGGCTGTCCAGCCGGGCCGGACTCCACCCAACAGACAAGCCAAAAAACAACCAAAGAAAGCAGTCAACCGACTACCTGACAGCCAAAGCGGTGGGCTCGATGGCGGCGTGGTACGGGCGAAGCGTAACTGTGCTGTGCACCGGTGGAGGGATGTGGGTTGGCAGGAGCCTACGTACAAAACGCAAATGACAGAGGAGCTATCACAAGTTTTCAGGTTTCACCCGGTTTAGGTTTAAGGATTTCGCGCAGTTATGTGCGTGGAACTTGTAGCAAAAATTTATTGGTGTATTTAAGAAAGCTTAAGAGGACCACTATCCGGATATTAATGTCCTTCATGCACGCTCCCACCCCGATTTCGATAGGTGGGCGAAATTTTTGTTGTTCAGATGAGTGAAACATGTCCGAGCTATTGTGATGCATGTGACTTTGACCAGATGACTGAGCTATTTTCAGGCGATATGGATGAGATGACGGACGGGAGAGGCGGCCAAACGGGCGACAGCCGGCGTTACCTTCGGGCGTGCGGCCCCGCGTGGGTATCTGGAGCCATATCCGCTGGAGGGCAGCACTGAACCGCCGGCAGGTGTCGCCCGCGGCGCGGCCGTGCGGTTGCCATAGCTACCGTACTGCCGAGGCTCGGCGGCCTGGACACGGCGAGAAGCCAAAACAAAATGAAACGCACACGGATAAAACAGCAGGTACATAGGAGGGGAATGTCACGTGCTGCTGGAAAGAAGTGCAACAGCACGACAAGTGAACCGCGGCAAACGTCGCCGCCACATCAGTGTCACATCCTACACTTGCGTGACCATGCTGTTAGGGTACACCGCGCAGACCTCATTACTTCACGTTACACAGGGTACGGCAGTGGGCAACACCTACTATTGCGATACACGCCGTGTTCACCAGGCGCGGCCGGCCGCCGCGCGCCCATGTTTAGCAACTCACCGCAGCGGGCCGCGTGGCGCTGGCGTCGCCCGCCCCTCCCGCCAGCAGCGTGCGTGTCTTCTGCACCTCCTGCGTGACGACCGTCTGCTCCTGGTGCGTGGCACTGGTAGTGGTGGTGGCGGCGAACGTCTTTTCGCTGAGCCGGCCGTCGGGCCGCTCGGTGCGCGTGCTGATGCTGGTGGCGACCAGCGGCGGCGAGGCCCCGTCCACCGGCTCGCTCTGAGGACGGCGCCGCTGCTCAGAGGTGCCTCCCGCCGGCACACAACGCCGCTAAGCCAGACACACATCAATGAAGCCCAGCTAGCCAAGGTGCAAGACGAGATTTGCTATACTGAATCGAGGTTAAAGGTCCGCAAAATTAGGTCCAAGTGAAGAACATACAATCTGTCCCAACCTGAATGACTGATCTGTACTCCAAGAAGCTGGATCCCACGGCACTTAAACTAGCAGCAGCAATCGCTCGGCGGCAGTCCAACAAATAAAAATACCACGCACCACACGCCACTCTCAAAGCACCGTTCTCACCTACAACCATCAGCATGTTGCTCCGTGACAAAGGCAGGCCCTGAAGGCCGCGCGGCCGACCGACGTGGGCGGGGCCGGCGCGCGGCACGCAGTGCCACCTACCTGACTGTGCATCCGCTCAACTCGCACGGCGCCGGTGGTCACATCGCGCACGGCCCGCACCGCGTCGCTGGTGACGCCCGTCTCGCCGGACACCACGCTCCGCTTGGTCACGGTCTGCACGATCAGCGGCGGCGCCGGCCGCCCCCCGCCCTCCGCCTCGGCGTCCGACGAGCTGGACGAGCCTGCCGACGCCGACGAGCGCTTCTTCTTTCTGGCCTTGCTCTTGTCCTTCTTGCTGCGCCTGTCGGCCTCGGCGGCGGCGGGCGCGGTGAGCACCGTCTCCGACTCGAGCGTGCTGTCCAGGTCGGCCGCCGGTCTGTCCGCCTCCCTCCAGCTCCTCCTGCCGTCCTCCGCCCTGCCGCCGTCCTTCTGCGGCGTGGGCTCGGGCGCGTCCGCCTCACTCTCCGAGGGTCGCTTCTTGCCGAAGCGGCCAAACAGGCCGCCTGACTTGGGCTTCTTGGTCGGCGGAGCGCTATCGTTCGCCGGCGGACTGGACGCCGGCGCGGCGGGCGGAGAGGCCGGTCCGGCCGCCATGCTGGCCAAGAACGCACTGCGCTGGTCGGCGGCGCCCGCCGGCGGCGGCGGATCGACCAGCGCGTCGTGTGTCATGGCGCGGTCAGGCGAGCCGGGCGCCACGCCCGGCGCGTAGTTGAAGGCGGTGGCGTGGCGCGTGGTGGGCGACACCGACTGTCGCTCGCGCTGTCGCTCCACCGAGCCGCCGCGGCCGCGTTCGTAGGTGAAGCCCAGCTGCGAGGGCGGCACGGGCCGGCGCGCCGCCTCGCCGGACTCCTCGTACGTGTAACTGCGCGTGTGGCCGGCCGGGCCAGCGGCGAACGCCGACGGCGAGGCGGCGCCCGGCCGGCGCGGCTCGCTCTCGTAGTCGTGCACGGCTGCGTCGGCGTAGCCGGGCGGCGCGCCGCGGCCCAGCGACTGGTACGCCGGCGGCGAAGCGCGCGCCTCGGCGGCCACGCCCCCCTGCCGCCGCCAGGGCACGTCACAGGCGCCCGGACCGGATCGGACGGCGGCGCCGGCGCAGGCACAAGGCAAAGCACGTCTAGGTGGAAAACTAGATATGTACACCGAATGCAAAACTAAACAGGGAACAACCATGCAACCAGACCGTCCAAGCCTCAGTCGGGGGGGGGGGGGGGGGGGGGCGGTCAAATGGAAATAATCATTACATAAGAAACCGGAATCCGGTCATGTGCAGCAATACTCATACTGAAGCTATGTGAGGGTTGCTCCTGCCAATGCCACTCCTCAGCTACAACGCACATGTATGCCGTCGACACCATTCCGGGTCCGTGGGGGCCGCGCTCATGCCGTGGAAGAGTGCGGGACCATGTGGGACCGCTGTCCCACCTGTACAGTGCGGCCGACCCATGCACACCCCGGCCATCGGCCGCGGCCGCGGCGGGGGACGGGGAGGGGGGGGGGGGCGGCACTCACCGGAACCTCGTCGGTCTTCCTGCGCGCCTTGCCGAGGTCGACTGGCGGCAGCACGGCCACGCCGCCCACAGGTCTCTGCCGGCGGCGGAGCAGGCGGGTCAGGACACACACGACCGCCGCCCCCAAAATAGGGCCCACGGGGCCACAGCGCCAACACAGGGGCTGTAGTCAGAAGGACGCGGCGGGGGCATCAGCGGAGACCATTGACGTTGGGTTATGCGAGAGGGAGGACAACTAGTCTGAGGCGTGCTTCACCACGACGAACGTAATGCGCGGAAGTCTGAATTGTGTGACATTCCAATCAGGTATTTCAAGAAAAAGCAACTCAAAATGAGCAATGTAATGAAACAGCCGATGCTGTGCAATAGAACCCAATACAACCATTCGTGCCTGCGAGTCGCGACAGTGACAACATTAGGCAACATTAAAACAGCATTTGGCTTTCAGCCAACCAGGTCGGCGGCAGCCAGGCAAACAGACCAAACAAACACACCATGCAAGCATGAACAAAACGTTGGCGGGCGAACAAGCATGCCACCTTATCCAGGCCACAGTGCGACGAACCGGCCGCCATGCAGCACGCATGGACGGACATGGCCACGTGGAAGCGAGCACGCCTCCCGTTACCAGAGGCCGGGCTCCGCCCCCGCTGGGGCTGGGCCAGCTGGGGCGGAGCCCACCCCGACCGACCACGGCGCCACGTGACCTGGCAAGCAGGAGCCGTCCCCCAGCGGAGCAACAAGCCACGGTCTGGGCCGACGCGCCGCGCCGCCGCTGAGTCAGCCCCAGAGACGGTGCCGCGACCGGAGGCCGGTCGCAACAGGCGCGCCGCGGGGCCGCGCCTGGGACGACCCCGCCGCCCTCGAACACCCAGCACAGCGCCGGCGCGACGGTGCCCGGCCGGCGCCGGCCGAGGCGGCGCAACAGACGGGGGACGGCACCAGCCGAGGCCATTCTCGGTCCGGACGGAGAGCGGTCTGAAGACGGGATACCGGACCAGCGGCGACACGGCGGACCAACGGCGGGACAGCGGACCAGCGACGTGACGGCGGACCAGCGGCGGCACGGCGGACCAACGGCGGGACAGCGGACCAGCGACGTGACGGCGGACCAGCGGCGGCACGGCGAACCAGCGACAGACTGCTGACAGTCCCCTTGGCCAGGCCGGACAGCTGGCCCGGCGGCGCGCCTCTACCTTGTCGTACTCGTAGCCGCCGCGGCTGCGGCTGCGGCTCTGCTGGAGCGGGTGTGTGCGCGGCGGCAGAGGCGGCGCCTCGTTTGCGTACAACGGCTCCCCCGGCCCGGCCGCCCACTGCGCGCCCAGCTGCTCATAGCGCTCCAGGTCGCGGCCCGGGTATCCAGTGACGTTGCCGTAGAAGTAGCCGCCCGCCGACTGGGCGGGCCGGCCGGCAGACGCGGCGTTGGTCGGGTAGCCATCGCTGTCGACGATGCCGTCCCACTGGTTCGGGTAGGCTGCAGCGACGCCGGACCACGCCCCCTCGTGCGGCGCCTGAACGACGCCACTCGGCTCATAAGGAGCCGGCATCTGGTCACCCTGGTCGTAAGGAGACGACATCTGACCACTCTGGTCGTAAGGAGCCGACATCTGACCACTCTGGTCGTAAGGAGACATCTGACCGCTCTGGTCGTAAGGAGCCGACATCTGACCACTCTGGCCGTAAGGAGCAGACACTGGTGCGGTCTGGTGACCATAGGCGGTCGTCGCCTGGACATGCTGGTCGTAAGGCATCAACATCGGCCCACCCTGGCCGTAACCCTCGCTCTGCCAATCGTACGGCAACCCACCCTGTCCTTGAATGCCTTGCTCATAATACGGTGCTTTATCGAAGTCGTAGGAGGCCTTCCTATCGAAGCTCTGAGCGTGGGAATCCCTCCTCGGCCAGCCTTGGGAGTACAGCGGTCCGCTGCGGGCGGCCGGGCCCGGCTCCTCCGCCGCCAGGTGGTGCGGCTGTGCCGCCGCCACCTCCAGCTCCTCCTGGTACACACTCTGGTAGGCAGCCGGATGCGCGGCGCCCAGGTCCAGCGCGTCGCCGGCCGACAGACGCGGCGGCGGCGAGTTGGGGCCGGCGGGCCGCGCGCGCGCCGCCTGCACCCCCAGCGGCGGCGGCGATGGTGGGCAGCGGCGGTGGCGCGACCACGAACGGCGGCGGCGGCGTGGTCAGCGGCGCCGGCAGCGTCGACCACGACGGCCGCGTGTCCGTCGTCGGCAGCCGCCGACTGCGGCACGGGAGGCGGCGGCGGCGAGCCAGGCGGCGGCGGCGGCGGCGGCGCGTGCGGCGGCCGTGGCACGTCGTGCGCCAGCGGCGAGCGGCACGCCTGGTCGAACGGCGGCGGCCCCTCCGCCGAGATGAGCGACGGCGAGCGGACGTCGAGCGCGCCGTCGGACGGGTCGAACCACGGCTCGCCGCCCGACCGGCCGGTGGTACGGCCGCGGGTACAGCGCCCGGCCGTCGATGACGTGCGGCGGCGGCTGCGGCTCCAGGATCAGCGCCGAGTCGGAGCCAACGGCCAGCGGCGGCTCCTGCGGTGGCCCCAGCGGCTCCGACTCCAGCTCCGGCTCCGGCTCTGGTTCCGGCTCCGCTCGGTCGCGGCTGCGACCGCGGCCCAGACGCGACAGGAGGCGGCCACCGATGCCGGCCCGCTTGGCCGGTCGTTCCCTGACCTCTGCCTCCATGGAGGCCGGCTGAGCGACGGGGATGACCTGGCGCGCCACCGTGCGGACGTACAGACTCTCCTCAGCCTCCTCAGGCGGCGGCGGCGGCGGCTCGGCGTCGCGCGGATGAGACAAAGCGGCGTCCGGGCGCGGCACTACCTCCGCGGCCGACTCATCATCCAACGACGTCACACCCTTCACCACTGAACTGTCAAGCAACGATGACTTGTCCTTCTTGCGGAACAGGCGTGGGCTCTTCCAGAAGCTCTTCTTCTTCTCGGCGGCGCTCTTGTCGTCCAGACTACCGAGTGACTTGTGCAGACGGTCCGCGTCGTCCTTCGCTTTTCCGTCGTCGTCCGCCCTTTCCTTCTTGCCGAACGGATACCAGCTCTTCCTGCGCTCCTTCTTCTCAGTCGTCCTGTGCCGGGGTGGCCGCCGCCGGCTCGTCGCCGTCCAGGTCGCCGGAGAGCTGCTGGACGGCGTCCAGGTCGGCTGCGGCTAGCGTCGAGTCGGCCTGGTCCTCCCTCGTGAGAAGCTCGCACGAGAAGTCCGACAGATGAGCGTCGCCGGCGCTGTCGAAGCCGTCTGAGTCCCTTTTGCGTGTGTCGAGAGATGGCGGGACCCGGTGGCCACTGCTGGTCGCGTCATCTGTCGGCGAACTATGCACTTCAGCAGTCGCTGTCAGCGACGGTCTGCGCTTCGGGTAGGCCCCCGAGCTCTGCCCTGGCAGAGACTCCGCACTCTTGCTGTCAGCGGCATCCAGTTCCGTTCTGTCCTTTTTCGAGCCCGGTTTGAGTTTATGCCAGATGCGCTTCTTTTTATCGCCACCGACTTCGTTTTTGCCTGAAGTTTGGCCTTCTTCGTTGTGCTCGTCACCAAACTTGGGGACCATGTCGTTGGCTGACCCACGTGTATCGTCACCTACTCCGTCGCTGGCCCGGAGGCCCTCCTCCACATCGTCATCACCATAACAAGCGGCGCCGCCGCGCACCTCCTTCTCCTCGTCTTCCGAATGCGCCTTCTTTCTGAAGCCAGGGATCTTTCCGACAAAGCGGCCTCCCAGGCCGACGTTGGTCTCCCTCACCGTCTCCTCCGTCTTCGGCTTCACCGTGGCCTCGGCGCCCGCTCGGTCCTGCGAAGACGAACGCTTCTTTCCTGGCGTCGCCAGCATGCCCATCAGCCTTTTCCCCACACCATCAGACTCCTTCTCATCCATCTTTTTCTTATCGCCCTTCCCCTCCCCCTTGTCCTTGGACTTCCAAAACTTGCTCCCGCCTCCTTTGTCCGGTTTCCCGGCCACCTTGTCCAGCGGCTCCTGCTCGGCGCGGCTGTCCTGGGCCCGGTCGGAGTCGGTGACGCCGTCCGCCGGCTCCACCACAAACGTCTGCGAGCCGCGCCAGTGGCCGTTGCTGGCGTCGGAGGCGGAGCGTGCGCCGCGGCGGCCCGTCTGACGACCGGTGGCTGCCGACGCCTCCCCAACCGAGGGTCGGCCCTCGGACAGAGCCGGGGCCGGCTCCTCCTCCCGCCATTGCTGCGGCAGGGCGGCGCGGCGCCGTGGCTGCTGCTGCTGCTGCTGCTGCTGCGACGGCGGCTGAGGCGGCACCATGGGCGGCGCCTCGGCCGGGCGGCGGCTGCGGCCGCTGCCACCGATCATGCCGAGCGAGATGCCGCCACCGCCGGGGCCGCCGGGCCCGGGCCGCCGCCGCCGCTGCTGCCGGCCTACGGAGCCCACGCTGATGGCACGGCCGCGCGCCGGACGCGGCGGCTCGCTGTCTCCAAGGTCCGACGCCTGCGACGAGCCACTGAGGCGACGCCGGCGCCGGCGGCGGCCGCTGCCAACGGCCACGCCGCCGCCGACCGGCAGCCGCGGCGGCTGGCCTGGCTGGCGGCGGCGCCGGCCGCTGGCGCCGGCCGCGGCGCCGCGCTCGGGCGCCGCATGACGTGACATGTCGGCGCCCTGCGCCACGGCCGCCGTCGGCGGGCCAGACGTCAGCAACATGAAGTCGCGCGCCTCGCCACCGCACGCGCCCACCAGCAGCGGCGAGCGCGGCCGCACCCCCGCCGCGGCGCCCTCGGTGTCGGCGCGGCGGCGGCGGCGGCGCGCCCCGCCCGCCTCCAGCGGCTCGACGGGCACCTCGGGCAGCGAGAGCGTCTCGCTGTCGCTCCACAGCGCCTGGTGCGCGCCAGCCGTCTTGGGCGGCACCGCCGGCGGTTCATCGGCGAGCTGGGCGGAGGGGCGCGGCACCGGATCGGCGGCCGACAGGTGCAGTGCCGGCTGCGAGGACGTCAGCGTGGCCGACGCCGACTCCAGGTCCGGCTCCGGCCACCAGGGCTCGCCCAGCGCGTACGACGAGCCGTAGGCGCGGTCCAGTCGGCCGCCGCGCCGCTGCGCGCTGTCCAGGTAGCCCTGCGAGGACGAGCGCCGCGGGACGCTCCAGCTGGTACGAGTCCTCGCTGTCGGCCAGCGACGAGTCCGAGTTGTAGAGGCTGTTGCGACGCGAGCGGTGGCCCTAGAATGGCCGCGGATCGGTTAGTCGGCGGCACGCGGCGAGGGGCGCTGCCTCAGATAGCGGGCGCATGCAGTGAGTGCCCAGCCAGGCATCAGGCACACAGCGTCTGCGAGGCCGGCTGGGATCCAGATAGTCAGCTCAGCTGGCGTTATCAAGAGAACGGTGCGATGCATTAGTCGCGTGCGAGTGGCGTGCTAGCTCTAATAGACACTGTTGACGGCGAGCCATTCAACTGATTACCTCCGGTGCTGCTCATGCAGACCTCCGCGCAGCTACTAGACGCTCGGTAATGCACATCCAGACCTCCACACCTTCCCTGAATGCATTCCAGTCATGCAATCACCATTATTTTGCACTCCAATCAAACGTCACCGGCGCCGCGCTCCCCGAGCCGTCAGCGCCTGGGCGTCGGGCGGCGCCGACCGGGGCCAGCTGCCCCTGGCCGGCTGAGGGCGAGGGGGAGCGGACTCACAGTGCGCTCCTTGGGCCGGTCGTCCTCCAGTCCGGGGATCTGCTCTGGCGCCTCTGTCAGCGTGTGTCGCTTCACGTCGCCGTCGCGCGCCTCGCGGGCGCCGGCGCCGATCGCTGTCGGCACAGGGCGCCACCAGTCACCGCGCTGACTGTGGAGACCGTGGGGCTGTGGAAATCCCCCCCCCCCCTAACAGTGGGGACTGTAGGAACCCCTCCTCTGACTGTGGGGACGTCCCTGACTGTGGGGACTATAGGGACCTCCCCTGACTTGGGGACTGTGGGAACCCCTGACTGTAAGGACTGTGCGGACTGTGGGGAACCCTCCCCTGACTGTGGGGACTATGGGGACCCTGAATGTGGGACTGTGGGGGACCCTCCCCCTGACTGGGGGACTATGGTGACCCTCTGACTTCAGGAGACTGCGGGGACCCCTCCCCTGACTGAAGGCGACCCCTGTTTATGGGGGCTGTGGGGACCCCTCCCCTGACTGTGGGATCCCCTCTGACTGTGGGGACTGCAGGGACCCCTGACAGTGAGGACCCTCCCCTGTGGTGACTTTTAGGGACCCCTCGCCTGACTGTGGGGACCCTGACTGTGGGGACTGTGGCGACTACTCCCCTGACTGTGGGGGACTGTGGGGACCCCTGACTGTGGGGACTGTGGCGACCCCTCCCCTGACTGTGGAGACGCTGGCAAGGCGCTGTGATGTGCTCTTGACCTGGCCAGACCACGAGTAATCATCACTCACTCACATAAGGCCACACCCACCAACTCAGCTATCCTAACAGCACAGGCAGACCAGCACAGGTCTGGTTCAGTGAGGTCTATTCAGGTGCCTCAGGCCAGGTCAGGTCAGATCCGGGCGGCACAGACAACGTGACCCAGGGCGGCTGCCGACCGACGGTGAGGATCGACCGACTGTGGGATCGACCGACGGTGGGATCGACCGCCGATGGTGTCGACCGACGGTGGGGGTCGACCGACGGTGGGGTCGACCGCCGATGGTGTCGACAGACGGTGGGGTCGACTGATGGTGGGATCGACCGACGGTGGGACGAGGTCACATCAGGTCTGGTGCTGACCAGGTCTGTTGAGATGGTGTGAAGGGTATGGTGGGGTGAAACGGTGTCCGGTGGCACCTGGCGGCATCGGGTCAAGTCACGGCAGGTCAGGCTTGGACAGACCACACAAAGCCGGGGTCCGGCAGGGCCAGGTCAGGGCGGCCCAATCCAGCCAGGACGCCGCGGGGCGCGGGTCGGGCGCGGTCCACGCTCACGTTCCATGCTGCGGCTGGAGACGCCGCGGCCGCTGAGGGCACGCCGGAACTGCGGGGACGGCCGGTCCAGCTGCTGCGCCCGCAGCCGCGTCTGGTACTGCGTCAGGCCCGAGTAGCGGAACCTGGAGCCCAGGCGGGGCAGGCTGTCCCGACTCGGCGGCTCGGGCGACATCAGCCTGCCGGTCACCACGGGGTCAGGTCAGGTCAGGTCAGGTCAGGTGACGGGGGCCAGACGAGCCGGGCCGTGGCGCTCCAGCCACTCCAGCCGACAGTACACACAGCCGTGTCTCCAGGGAGGCACGCCGGTGACGTCACTCATGTCATACACGCTTGCCCAGATCAGTTCAGCGTCCGCCGAGACCACAGCTCCCGTCAGTGTTCAACGTCCCGACTGTCACGCCAGCCGCTCCAGAGATACCCTCCAGTCCATATCAACACGCTCTCCCGAAGGTGCGGCTCAAAATCTGTTTGGGAGCCGTCCCCTCCCCCTTTACACACACCACACCACACCACACCACACCACACCACACCACACCACACCACACCACACACCCTCCCCGGTGATGTAAGGCAACAATCACCTCAAAAGTCGCTAAAACACCAAAAAGAATGGGAACCATTTTTCTCGGATGTCATCCTCAGGCACACCACCCAATGTCATAAAGCGCCGCCCCTGCACTCTCTGGTACTCGACTCTGACACTGAGGCGTGATCATGGCACAGCACCATTCCAATGACTAGATGGCTCGGTGGTCACTCGATGGAGATCACCGGTCGGCCACCAGCATGATCTCAACGGCGGAGATCACCAGCCGGCCACCAGCATGATCTCAACGGCGGAGATCACCAGCCAGCCATGACGTCATGGTTAAATCTGGCATGATTCGCTAGCTCGTAAACACAGGTCGCTACATGTCACGCAGCGCGTGCCAACAAACCGGAAAAAGGTGTGATGCTCCACACAAATCTTCCATATCTGCTTGGCCTTCCTGTGGTTGGTCAGCTTGAAGCCGATGGTGGTCATGTGACGCTCAAACTCGCCGGGCCGAACCTTCACGTAGAAGTTGTTTCGCTTGTACGAAATCTTGAGAATTTTCGGCCAGGCAAAGCGGTTTATCCGCAGTCTGAAATGGCGTTTTAGGCGTTGTTATTTCAAGCACACCTGCATCGCCATAAAACATGGTGGAACGATAAACAGGCCGTGCTGGTGCCGGCGACTGGCAGCCGGCGCTGGCCTCCGCCGTCACAGCCCACCTCCCGCCTTCCATCCCACCCTGTCAGGCGTCTGGCAGCTGGCGCTGGCCTCTGCCGTCACAGTCCACCTCCCGCCTTCCATCCCACCCCGTCCGGCGTCTGGCAGCCGACGCTGGCCTCTGCCGCCACAGTCCACCTCCCGTCTTCCATCCCACCCCGTCCGGCGTCTGGCAGCCGGCGCTGGCCTCTGCCGTCACAGTCCACCTCCCACCTTCCATCCCACCCCGGCCGGTGTCTGGCAGCCGGCGCTGGCCTCTGCCGTCACAGCCCACCTCCCGCCTTCCATCCCACCCCGGCCCGTGTCTGGAAGCCCACTCCGGCCGCGCACGCACTTGTCCCTGTAGACGAGGATGCCGGAGGCGCAGACCCCCAGCATGATGTCCACGTTCTCCGAGTCTTTGGCCGGGTGCAGGTCCACGCCGTACATGGCCAGCTTCTTGGCGTTCTCCAGATAGTGCAGCTCGGCTTCGGACGGAGTCTGGCCCCTATCGCCGCAGGGAACCACAGGCCGTGTCAAACGGAGACGCATCGACTGAGCGGCGCTGCCCGCACTGAGCTCAATACACGCCAGTGACACCGGACATGTCGGCCAGCGATAGACAGCGAGCCTCGTCCCAGAGATCTGCCGTCGTGTGTTTAACGTCCAAGACCGATCTGACCTTTCCGTCCAGGGCGCGACCTAAGCTGCGCGGTTCCGCCTAAGCCCCCGCTGCCGGCCTGGGTTCAGCCAACGGACAGCCGGCATCTGGCAGCCGTGATTTCGTCCGGAGCCGGCGCCACCGACCGCGGCCCTCACGCAGCCGTGCCGGCTCGTGACCCGACCGGGCGACTAGCCCGAGCCTGCCCCCCCCCCCCCTTCCCCGTCTTGGTGAGCGCCACGGCCCCGTGCCGTGGTTCGTGTCTGACCTCAGCGTCTTGTGCAGCTGGGCCACCTTCTCCTCCAGCTCGACCGTCTGGTGGGGCGCCAGCTTGAAGTCGGCCAGGTAGCCCGGCTGGTGCTCGGCGGCGTCATAGTCGCCCAGCTCCGACTGCACCAGGAACGAGCCGAGCAGCGCGTGCGTGACGAACGAGCACGGCAGCCTGCGGTGGCGACGGCGACGGCGAGCCGGTCAGTGGAGCCAGCCGAGAGCCGGCGGGTGTGGGCACAGGCCGACCGTGGCTTACACGGGCGGGGTCAAAGGGTTGGATCTCCGGATCGCCAGTGAGGGCCAGACAGATTTGGGTCCAAGTTGGAGAGGCCTAACGCTATGAGTCAATGTACGGGTTGGACCCGTCTGCTCTACAGTCAAGGCCGACGGCGATACATCAGCACGACAGACGGGGGTCTAACGGGTCGTGTACTATGTGGTTCATCGCATGGATTGTGGTCGCGTGTTGGAGGACCACCGGGGCCAGTTTAGGAGATGGGCAACACCAAACTGCCAGTCCAAAACGGCGATCCCAGAATCTCGGACAGGATACATGGCTGAATCTGCAATGGCCAGAACTTCGCAGACAAACACAAACAGATCACTCGACAGGTAAACTGAAGACGGCTGGCACATGAAGGGCAAGTGTTGACTTCACTGACATCGCGTGTCTCCAAACAAATCAACGACAGCCTTGACAAAGACGCCATGTTTTTTTCATAACAGAACAGAGGCAGGGACCCCACACAGCTTTTGGGACCACGGGTCGACCCCAGGCCAACGTCCTTCACAACTGTACAGTGATAGCGCGCTCACTTGTTGGTGATGATATCGTTGCGGATCTGCAGGCACAGCTGGTAGCGGGTGACATCCTCCTGCAGCTGGCTCGGGTCCAGCGGGTAGAACTTGACGGCGAAACGGAGCTCCCATGGCTCGCCTGCGGCAGGCGGCGCCGTCACCACACTACCGCTCTGGGCCGGAGCCTGGCGCCTGCCCTGGCGCGTTACCAATTGGCGTGTTCTGACGACTCGGAGCACACAAAAATGGAAACAAAGACTATCCGCCATCAGCGTTTGTTCTGAGCGCCCCACACGGCGTTGTGTGTGACTGACACCCAGTGAGGCACGCTGCCGTTATATCTAACTGGAAAGGTAACCCGCCCCCGGGTGGCCGGTTTAATGCGACGTGCTCGGGCAGATGGGGTGGGGGGGGGGCGGCTCGATTTCACCCCGCTGACATCTCCAAAACAAAGGAGGCTACATACACCAGATTCACAAGGGTCGGTGAGGCTCCACGAGAACGTAAATGAGTCAACTTTCGAGGTATTACGTCGAGATTCGGGTCAAATAAGGTCACATAACATCGAAATCCAGATCGGTGTCCCGAAGCGCCCTCGGGTCTCCTAACGCAACCGGCTTTATCCTGGATACCAGTTTAACCAGAGTGTTACAGGTGTGAACATGAAGGCCAGTGACCTTAGGCGATATTTAAACGGGAAAATAATCAAGAATCTTTGATGTCATCTACTAATTTGCATTTACAATCGGCGCCAAAGACTACCTTGGGCAGTTACGGTCCCAAAGTCAGTGGCTGATCGATGTCAGCTCAGGTTTAGTGGCCTATTGTAACCCTCAGCTAGTCAAAATACGAATTTGTTGACATTAATTTGATCCAGGAAATCGAAACGAACGTCAAGAGCTATCCCGTACTGCAAGCTTTCCAGCAATAAAACAAGTTTGTTTTTTACCTCGATTTGACCTTACATTACCCAAGGTCAGTAACATTAGCCGCTGCATGACCTCCAGCAATCGATGCAGCCAAAACCCCAAGTGGAAGTAAGCGGTTATCCTCCGTTCAGTTGTCTTATCGTCTACGAAACAACCTTGAAGTTCCATGACTTCGTCTTAAACTCCACTGATGCGTCATATTGAACGAATCCCTCGGAATGACCTTCACAGACAGCAGTGACCTGTATTAGCCTGTAATACGTCAGCGACCTTACGAGGTATGCCTAAGTTGTATACCAAATGACTGGCTATTCAATTGTCTGTGGCTATCAAAATAACGCGCGCCGCGCCATTGGGAAGCTATCTCAGAAAAATAACTTGGGAGTGGGGGTCAAAATAACCCTTTACGGAGTGCTAGGCGCCTATGACCGCCATATTAATATCAGGGTCCATGGCTCAAGTAGGCCGCGACCCCTCACGTGAAGCCGAGGGCGCTGGCCAATTGGCGGCTACGTTGCTAGGTGAGGTAGACTCCTGGTCACTTTTGTCATCAGTGGCGATTGGTACGTAAATGCAGCATTGTGAACATCACCAGGACCACACCAAGGCCGTCATTCTGACATGATAAATGAGCGTCGGTGGCGGTGGTGTCACATTAGCATATACCTCTCAGAAAAAAATGATTCCAGGCTGGCTGTCAACAGTTACGGGGTGAGGGAGCGAAGTGAAGATCCTAAGAGTCTAAAGAGCATTGCAGCTTAATTCGATGGCCAACTTGCACGCTGGGGCTCAGCACTATCATCCTTGTCTCTGACACCAGGCGCTCCAGCGGGCTGTTCCAGCTGGCGTCCAACTAGCATCCACGTCCAACGCCTTGCCCGCTGTCATGCCACAGTGGGATACTTTCCCAGGCGTCTAGCCCCCAGCACGCCGACACTTTCCCGGCGTCTAGCCCCCAGCGACGCCGACACTTTCCCGGCCAGCCCCCAGCGACGCCGACACTTTCCCCGGTCCAGCCCCCAGCGACGCCGACACTTTCCCGGCGTCTAGCCCCCAGCGACGCCGATACTTTTCTTTGCGCCCAGCCCCCAGCGACGCCGATACTTTCCCGGACGTCCCGCCACGAACAGCGCCGATATATGGGATTGGATAAATCATATTATATTGCTGATGAGCCACTGGGGCAGCCTCAAAGCACGGCACAGCCACACGATCATGCTCATAGCCGCAAACAGAGTGGCACGCATTTAGCGGCCGCATATCGACACCGTATTTCAGCAGCGTACCTTCACAAAATGAGCTGGGGGCTGCGCAGTGACAAATGGCCCAACCTGCCCCGAATATACCACCAAATAGGTTTCTCCCCAGATTTGACCCACTTCCTTCCCAAAGTTGGTGGGAAGGGGCTGGAGCCCAATTTGGATGCTCCATCACCACCCCCTCCCCCCTCCCCCCAGCGCGAAACAGGAAACTACACCTCTGCAGCATTTCCTCCAGCTAAGAGTCAACTGCTCGGGTCCCTCCCTATAAATATTCCTCGACTTCCAATTTCTAAGTCCCTGCGCCTCAACAATCGCCCTGACATTGGCCGTTCGCAGATCGGTTTCCACTTAGCGCGCACATCGTCACATCAGCCTCCCTCGCCGCAGAGCCGTAAATCCCCGGCCCGTGACGCGTCGTTTCGCATCTCCTCCGCTGGCCGCCGGTCCAAAGCCGAGCGTCGGCCGCGGCCCGTTGTGTCGCCGCCGCCCGGCTCGTGTATCGATTCCGGTTTGACTGCCGGGCAAGGGGTCGTTACGTGCCCGCTTGGCGCCAGTCTGTCGGCGGCCGGCCGTGGCGCCCCTCCGCGCCCCTCCCCGCTCCCCTGAGCGTCGGTTTCAGCTCGGTGGTTGCGGAGCGATGCCGACGCTGGCCAAACGTCTGGAGCCCGCCTGATGGGTCGGTCTGCGCACCTGCCGGCGGCGCTGGCAGCAGCCGGGCCGCCAGCGCGCCTCCGTTGTGAGGCGAGCACGCGGCTGTGGCGCCGACAGCGGCCGTTTTACACCGGCGCCTGGGGGTGTGTTCGGCGTCGGCGTTGTGGGGGCTCCTGCCGGCACGCCGTCGGGCGGAGGCCGCCGCGGCCGCGCCGGGCGGGGCCGCCGCACGGGTCTATGAGCGGGCGGGTGTGCCCCGAGGACAACAAGCACGTGCCGGCGCTGCGCCAACGTGTGTCGGCCGGCCGACGGGCAGCCGCGAACCGAGTGGCGGCTATAGAGGAGCCCAACTGAGACACAGTTGCCCCGCGTGTCTCCTCGAGCCGACTCAGGGAACAAAGCAGCCGACGCAGCGTGTCGCCCGGCCTTTGCAGAACACAAGGGACGCGTCTTGAATACGTGGCCTTTAATGTGTAAGAAGACTGCGGAGCTCGTACTTGAACACTGAGCATTCCCCGCGAGGATTTATAGGACAGACTCGAGCTCTGTTAGCACCTGAAAAGATGCATGCGGTTTAGAGAAGCAGCAGTGGTAGCCTGCCCATCAACGGCTGACACATTCGTCCCGCTTGTTTCAGCATCCGTCACGGTACCCGGGGGGTACCCGGGGGGTACCCGAGGCCGTCACGACGCGCAGACACGCGCTGGCGTGACCAGCAGCCGCCAGTGCTGCCGCACAGCTCGGCCAGACGCCCCCCATCACGGTACGCTGCGGGCCCGGAGCTCAGGCGTCCCTTCCCCAGACGCGCGGCGAGCCCGCTCCCCAGGTCTGGACCCGGAGTCGGCCCCGACACTGTTTATCCAGCCGGAGGGACGACAGGCAGCGACGACTCTCCTCAAACAACAGGCACGCGACCAGCCCTCGCTGCCAGGCCCTCAGCCCATCTGGGTGGGGAAAGAACAGATGAAAAATGATGATCTGTGTGAGGCGCTGAAGTTCGCAGCCCCGCCCCCACTCCGTACAATAGGGAGCCGGGAAGGGGGCCAACACAATCTGTGAGGGCGCCTGTGATGGCGAACCACCACCGTTGTCGACTCCTCGCTTATCGACCTAGTTATGTTTCGCACCCAAACGGGCCTCCTGCGACAGGTGGATGAGCTCTCGCTGCGCAGACGGCTACCTTAGCCCACCAATGGCATGCATGTGATTAACGTCGTACAGGAATGCACTGCGCCGTGCTCGCCTTTTGATGTGTGCATCAAGCAGGTGCCGCCGCAGAAGTGTACGAACTTGGTCAAGATGCCGCAAAATAAGTTTAACGCCAGCGTTTCCTTCCCCAGCTTAATCAGGCTGATTGAAAGATTATCATTCTTGGAAGTGACAATCGTTGTGACGACAACACGACCTGCGCTAGGCTTGATCTCATGTACCCACAATGTGCGCAAAAGACGAACGATTTGACCCTGGTGTTGTGTCAATTACACACTATGAAAGGTATCCCAGAGCCACCTGTGCTGCAGATGTCGTCCTGGTCGAGATATTTAGATGCGTTTGGTCGGACTCAAAACGGCCTGGCGCTTTATCAATAACCACTGCAGACAACAGCTCGCCAGCCCAGCCTGCGCCGAGTCCAGCCAGCGAAACAACCGCTGTTGGGACGAGACCTCCGCGGTCAGGTCTCTACTGGACACCACCCTTCCACATTAAACCCTGTCAACACCCGGTCTCCCCGTACAGCGTGACCGACGGGGAGCGCGGTCTGACCGTACGGTGTGACCGGCGAGCAGCGCGTCGCTGTTCGTACAGCGTGACCGGCGAGCAGCGTGTCGCTGTTCGTACGGCGTGACCGGCGAGCAGCGCGTCACTGTCCGTACAGCGTGACCGGCGAGCAGTGCGTCGCTGTTCGTACAGCGTGACCGGCGAGCAGCGTGGTCTGACCGTACAGCTTGATCGGCGAGCAGCGCGGTCTGACCGTACAGCGTGACCGGCGAGCAGCGCAGTCTGTCCGCACAGCTTGATCGGCGAGCAGCGCGGTCTGACCGTACAGCGTGACCGGCGAGCAGCGCGGTCTGACCGTACAGCGCCGCTGAGCGGCCACAACAGGACGGGGTTGCCCAGGACACGGTCTTCAGTTTATCATTCGTCCCACCCTGGAGCGGGCGCACGCGAGGGTGTACAGCCAACATACTGTCCCATGCGGCGTTGAGGCCAGGCGCCATGCGTTCGACTCGCACCGGCCAGTTTTTTGTGGCGTGGGCGTCAGATAATGAGACATGACTTACACCAATACACCATCT